TTGTTCAGGGATTACACATCTCTCTAACTACTTCCTGATGAATGGGGGCACCATCATATGGGGGACTGGGTGAGTTGAGATGCCAAACAGGCTTCACACGAGCTCACATGGCAGAGATGTCACTGAGGATGAGGAGCTCTTTGGTTGTGAGTGTGTGGATTCTGGATTGAATGAACTTGGAAAGACGTTTAAAGACACAAAGAGCTATGAGCAAAAAAATAATAATGGTGATAAGGAGGCCTAAAATGGGTAGTAGGATAGGGACCTATGAATCTAATGTGGGCCACCAAGAAGACCAAGGGGTGTAACTTGAGACTGTGTATCTTTTACCAAGTTCTACTGCAAATTTTCTGAGTTTCTTCACCTGCCCTTTTATAATGCCTGATTTACAAAATAACAACATTATTCCCCAAGCATTGCACCATAGCCCCCTTTTTCAGCTGTAAGTACATCAAGTGCACATCCATGCTGAAGGATGACTGCAGCCAATGAATTGATCTAATTCTGAAGCGAATATACAGTTTTTGAGGCTGCATCAGTAGAGGTCATGTGATAATTACCATTGTAGTGAGCACTCATTCCAATTCCTCCTGCCCCCCTTCTCAAAGCTGAAAAGATACCTATTCCTGTCAAAATAAGAGCAATAGTAGCTGTACATGTAAGTGTATGAGATGTGAGTTCGTTTTGTTTGTATGGAGTGTTACTTGTGGGGCCATTACTGATACTGTACAAGACCCCTGCCAGATAGACAAGAGGCCTCAGCTTTGGGCAGGCTTGTGCCCAGTATTCCTTGCTGCATTTAAAGCATCATCCTAGGGAGGCTTGGGGTCTGGAAGCCATATTGGCAACTTCACTGGTTGGTGTGCCTCTCAGAGCCTCGAGTGCCAGTGAAAAATTGACCTTGGAGTTTGGCCTGATGTCTGGGCTTTTCTAATTCCTGCTTAGCTCACAATTTGAGCTCTTCTAGTTTGTTCTGCTTAAACTGTAGCTCTCAATTGTTAAAAACATGAGAGGCCTCACCTAAAAGATCCTTTTGTGGGGACTGGGACCTAGATTACATTTTTAAACTTAGTTTGTATATCTGGCACTGCCTAGGAAATGAAGTGAGAATTAAATAGAATAGTTCCCTCAGGGACTACTTCTGTATATTTCAAAAGTGCTTCAGAAATCCGAGTGATAAACACTGCCATGTTTTTATCTACTTAGTGGATTTGCTCTTGCAATTTGCATTGGGGTAGTCTTGATCTCCCTCACACACTCTTGCTTGGCCCCCAGCCTGCTTCTGATCCTGCTGCCACTGGGAGGGCACATAGCTGACAAGGAGAGCATCACGAGCCTCCAGACTCCAGAGGGATGAAGTGCACCTAAAAACACTTGAGCATATAGGAGAAGGAACCCGAGGTGCTGAATCTGGCACTGATCTGCTTCAGTGAGAACTGCAGGAATTTGGCCTTGCTCTGGAAATTGAAAGTGAGGACATGTTTTCCCTGCCTTGTTTCACTCCAACAAACCAGGAAAGCACCATGGAAGCTGGCAACCCCTTCCAGCACTAACTGGGAAGCCTTGAGTTGTGAGAGCATCCTATGGAACGAAGGGTATCCCAAGAGGCCCTTTAGTCTTCACCAGGGGGTACAAAAGGGGAAATGAGGTCCTAGAGAACAAGTGGAGGGTGTGGGCCCATAGCTTAAGAGACAGGCACCCTGAGTGGGATTTGGCTCCCTTCTGAGAACCTGACAACTTAAGACTAGTCAGTGTTGGGCAGGTGGCAGCTAAAAACAGCAGCACCAGAAGTCCCCTACTAGAGAAAAGGAAGAGCAAAAAAGAGAGAGTAGTGGTAGTTAAGTCCTTAAACCCCAGTGGCTTATAACCACATTTACTTCTTGGCCATATAATGTAATGAAAAAGAATGAATGGTTTTAGTCAAATCCCACATCTACTGCCTCCAAACTGTGGTCTGGAGTTACTACTATTCGACCCACACATCTCTCACGGTAGAAGAAAATGAGTAACATTTATTCATTGTCATTATATGGCTGCTTGGATGTGGTGCTGTTCCAGTCCTTTCAACCCACTGTTCAAACCCCCTGGTGGACAAGATAAAAACAGGAAAAGATATGGAGAGCCAGGTTTGAAGTGCAACAGAGACAGAGGTCAGTGACAAGCTGACAGGCTTAGAGGAGGCATTTATGGGCTATTTGCTCTTAGGATCATGATGTATGCTTAATACTGCTATCAAAGCCCCACTGCCTCGTTTTCATGAGCTGACACATTTTCCAGTCACTGTTCTAGTGAAGTGGCGCTAAGACTGAGTTACAGCCAATGCATTGGGAACGTATGTGTGCCATGGCACCTGGAATCAAGAGTGGTGAAGCCCAATGAGCCTGGGTCCCTAGAGAAGTGTAAGAACTAAACTGACAGTATTATTTGGTGCATACTATACTTTGGGTCTATCAGTAACACATTCAAACCCATCACTTCTAAGAATACCTTATATATCAGATACTTTCTTTACAAAAGATGAAAAATGTGTGTGGGGGGAAATATGTTCAGAATTTCCAATTTAAAATCCAGCCTGGCTTACATAACAGTGATTCAAATGCTAAATATATGTCAAGGGATGATCAGGTTAAATAAAAGTAAACTACTAAGATGAAAACTGTAACTTCATGATGTATGGGAAATTCACTTGGTAGTAACATCATTTATGATAATACAGATTTTAGTGGACTCTCCTGGGACACTTGTGAACTTAGGGAATGAAGTATATTACCAAATTTAAACTATGAAGGGCTTTTTTAAGTATGACAAAGAAGATTATATATGAGAAAAAAAGAATGAAAAAGGACAAAAAAAATCCCATTGTCTAAAAAGCAAATATCATAAGAGGGATAATACTGGAATAACCACATTGAAAATGGCACTAACTTTGAAACTACTAGGCCTTGTACTTGGAGATCAAGTGTGAAAAGATGCATACCTGGAGAGGATACAAATTTCTCCTTCCAGAAAAGCACCCTAAGATTGCACCAGAAGCTGACATGTTTTTAAACATCTGTACTTTCATTCAACAGCATGGCAGAAATGCCCCAGTGCAATTTATCCTTGTATCTGCTTCTCCAATTCTTTGCAATGTTTTCAACAGGACTCCTGTTAGTATTTGCTGACAAAGGAGTATATTTACACTTTACATCTATTACTTTTACCTTGTTTTACACTAATTTACCGTAACACATTCATGAAATTTACCATTTCAAGTATTTTATGTATTCAATTAGTATATACACTATATTGTGTAACTATTATTGCTACCCATGTGCAGAATGTTTTCATCAACTCACACTGAAACAGTGCCTACTAAACAATGCAATTCTCATCATAAATCCCTGGGTAACCTCTACTTTTTGTCTGTACGAATTTGACTCAACACCTCATGTAACTGAATTCATGCATCATTTGTCCTTGTGTCTGGCTTATTTCATTTATGTTGCCATATATATATATATATATATATATATATATATATATATATACATACATATATATATAAAATCTCAGGATTTTATTCCTTTTAAAGACTGAATAATATTCCATTGCATGTATACACTGCATTTTATCCATTCATCTGTTGATGGACACGAGTTATCTTTTGACTGTTAGGAATAATGCTGCATAGAATATTGGTGTACAAGTACCTGAGCTTCTACTTTCAATTTTTTTGAAGATACAAGAGGTGACTGAAAACTACCGTGAATGTTTAAACCTAAAAAAATTTTTACTGTAAATGACATGTCAGTATTAACCTCTCTCAAAATACTCCTCACATCCGTGCTTTGAAGACATCCAGTCACCCTTCATACTTTCTGAAGAAGTTTCAGAAGTCCTAGTTCACGAGTGTATCAGGTATGATTTAAAAAAAAAAAAAAAAAAAAAAAAAAAAACCAGGGCCTGGGATTTAGCTCAGTGGCTCAAGCATTTTCCTGGCAAGTGTGAGGTCGTGAGTTCGATCCCCAGTACAAAAAACAACAACAACATAAAACCCCAAAAACAAAAAACAAAAAACAACAAAAAAACAATATGGTGAATATGCTGCAGCTGAATCTCATCCATTGGAAAGGCAGGCTCAAAAAAATTACAATGTGTCCTCCTCTACCTTATTTGGTCTGGCATCATGCAACTTCTGGCTCTTCCCCCAAGTCAAAATGACCATGAAAAGTAAACAGTTTGAATTGATTCAAGGATACCAAGACACCCACAAGAGTGCAGTCAGACACAACAAACTCCAAGAACTGCTTTACAAAGTGGCACTAATGACTGGATAATTGTGTTTGAAGCAACAGGGAGAATTTTGAGGGAGGATTATCAGCAATGTGTCTCTTCTGTAAATTTTTATTTAAATACATAGTATATACCCAGAAGTGGAATAGGCATACCACGTACTGTTTTCAACAGCAGCTATACCATTTTACATTCCCACCAGCAATGTGCAATGGTTCCAGTTTTTCCATATCCTCATCAACATTTATTTTGCTTTGTTTTTAAAATAGTCACCCTAATGGACATGAAGTGGTTTCTTTACATCAGGAAGAATCACCTTTTTTCCTGTGCTAAACACCTTAACTGATAATATTAAGGAATATAAATGTGTATCATTAACTTAGTGAATTTATGAGTAACAGAGAAGTCAACAGAACATTGACATGCGTTCTTAAAGATGGGCCCTTCCTGTATGTCTTGTCTACCCCACAGTTTCCCTCATTTTCCAAATCAAGGGACTTTTCATAAACATCTTTCAGCATCAGACCTAGGAGACTCAGAATTTTAACCTAGTTCATTTACTCAGGCACCTCCAAGTATAATCCATTCCACTGCTTGCAAAAGCAGTATTTTATCTCCTAATAACACCATTACTAGTCATAGGGGCTCTTTTCAAGTTCAACAAATTCACATATTAATATAATGAAGTGAAAGTAAAATGAGACCTGAGACTCTGGTATTGTTGCAGTTAATTTTATTATATTTTAAAGTATGAAAACTGTAAAACTCAGTATTTTTATAAATACCTGAGGACTGTTATAATGAGCACAGTATCTTCATACAAACAATTTGAAACAAGACCAAGTTTAAGTAAGAATCTAGTCTCATAACAAGGGACTAACACAGATGAAATGATCCTTCAAATAATTGTGTTCTTATCTAAAGTACACTCAGTTTTCTTACCTAAAGTACACTTAGTTTTCTAGAAACAAAATGTACATTATGGCCCTGGTGAATATTTTATTGGCATTTAAAACAAATGGCTAATATTTTTATAAGCGACTTTCATAGCTTATTAGTATTATCCAAGTAGTAACAATAGACATATAGCACCATTTCCCCCTGAAAGTTCTAACTTTCAAAAACCAAAATAGTCAGAACTAATGTATCTTCCAAAATGTAGCAGAATAAATGGCTCAGAACCAAGCAAATTAATAAGAAACATTGCATAGGATAGAGAATTCACTGCATGGAAACCAATCTAATGATTGTTTCTTATTATTTGAAGAGCAAGCTGAGAGGTACTGGTGATAGCAAACGATGCACATATTTTTGTTGAGTAAAAACATCTAACTATATTCATAGCTCACTCTTACATTGGTGGCAGTGCAAAGTGCCATATTAAATTCAAAAAGAAAATATATACTATAAGAATAGTATATAAATATGGTAAATTATACATATGAGGAATAAACACATACAATAAAATATATATCTCTTAAAAATTTGGACACAGATATAGAGATATGTGAAATGAATGTCTGAAGTCCAAGCTTAGCAAAAATATAGGTTTACAGTTATATGCATTTTAGTGAAAAATTTTAATCCTGCTTCATCCAAACCACTCTTGTAGTATAAACATTTGCACAAAATGATCATTCTATCAATCCTGTTTTTAAAAATTATAAAAAAACAGGTAAGAACACTTTATGAATGCTTATAAGCTTGCTTTTTCCTTTAAATATGAACAAATACAACACTGAAAGAATAAAAGAAAGGAATATAACTTATATGGCTATACATTTTCTAGAAATTCTTAAAACATGAACAGAACACTAGAATCAGAAAGAAAATATTTTTTAAGAAAGAGATAATAGCTACAGGTACATCTTTAAACTTTTTTCTGAGGAAAAATTCTCATGTGTTTTATAATTATAAAAGCTGCTGAATCTCTTACTATTTTCCTCTTTGGGATGTAGCTGTTTTGGTTCTAAATACAAAGATTAAGCCAAATAAAATGTTTTTTTGTTTACTACATTAAGTATATTTGTAAAATACACAATAAAAATAATAAACATACAAATGATCTACCAATTTGAAAATGTTAATACTAGCATGTTAAATGGCTTTTAAAGACGCAGACTGGACTGTTAATGTAATCTAGAAATTCTGATAAAACATTTTTATAGAAACTTTCTATGACATAAAAACTGCTAAGAAAATAACTTTTAAATTAAAATCTTATTAGTATACCTGAGAATTATGCCTAATCTAAATTGACATTTTTAATTATATTTTCCTTCTTTAAGTTTGTCAATATAGTAACATAACTTTATTGCTGGTCCCAGCTTCAGCCCCATATACTTCATCATCACATCACTCTTGAGTAGAAGCAGAGCTTTCCCATCAATCTCCTACAAAGACAAGAAATTGTAATAATTAATAATGCCTTTATATTTGTCAAAATAGCTACTTATACAGTTAGTTATCTGAAGTTGGTTAGATGCTAAAACTACCGATTTTCTTAACACTATTAAAAGGGTACATTAGAAATTAAATTGCTAATTTGACTTTTTAGAAAACAATGAAAATAGTCACAAGGCATAGACATCCTCCTAAAATTCTTTTTATCTTTATTAATTTATACTTAGGCATCCTCCTAAAATTCTTTACCTTTATTAATTTATACTATAAAGCACTGTTTGGCATTAATTTCTGTTTAAAGCAAAGATGCACTAAATCTTTTTTTTTTTTTTTTTTTTTTTTGTCTTTTTCCTTTTTATCGGTACCGGGGATCAAACTCACGACCGCCTGCTTGCAAGGCAGGTGCTTATGCCGCTGAGCTAAACCCCCAGCCCCTAGATGCACTTAATCTTAATCAGTTGTTGAATGTATTACATATCATAAAGAGAAAGCCACACTGCTAGTTTGTGGCTACTCCCTCCTACTCATGGTCCCAAGGCCAGGAAGGGACCAGGCTGGGAAGGGGGAGGATTCTTGTATCTGTCATTAGAGAACAGGTTGTCCACCTTAGAGTGGTGGTGCTGAATCACCATGTCTTGAGAATTTGAGGTTTAGTTATTAAGCACCTGGATACCTGTTTTAAAGGACACTGTATTAAACTTCCATTTAAAGATCTAACAGGTAAAATAACCTTTCTTGCAAATGGAAAAATCAGTTGATAGGGTTCCCCCACTATCCACAGAACTCAGTATTCCAATGGAAAAGCCTGCATACAGGTCATTCAAAGGCATTATGCATTATGGCAGCAGGAAAACCGAATCAAAAGATACATTACATGTTGCCTGAAGAGGTCGGCGAGGGGGCCTGATATTTGAGGATCTGTACGTTTCATGAACTGTATGACTTCATCCACAGACCAGGTAGAAGGGTCCTTAGATAAGCCTTGTTTCAGGACACTGGGGTCAGGTACACCTATATAACTTGAAGCTTCAATGGGAGGGGAAAAAGAACAAATCATACTTGACCTGATCATTATCCTGAAAGAAGAGATGTTAGGTGGGCATAATGGTCTCATTACAGGAACCTTTTTTCTGTTAAGAACTCAACCGAAGACTCAAGATTTCAACTGTGCAAATCTAATGAAAACCTACATTAAGATGATCTGAGGACAGCGGCACAAGATTATCCCATTTAATCTCCTCCAATGAGTAGAAGCAACTTCAATTCCCCTAAAGATTTAAAGATCACAAAAGACTGACAGCTGATTTAAGGCCCCTTTGGCCTCAAGAAAATGCAGCAAAAAATCTGCTACTGGGGTGAAACTAGATTAATTTAACCTAACTCATTACTCTTTTACTTTGTTTCAATGAATCTCTCATTCTCTATAATTGCTCTTTTTCTGTCTAAATAAAATTTTACTAGCTAAATTCAAAGGAAATTACCCACATTTACAGTTTTATGATTGCTTAAATTTGTTTGCATTTGCAGTGCTGGGGATAGAACCCAGGGCTTTATGCATGCTAGGCAAGCTCTACCGCTCAGCTACTCCCTTAGTCCTAAATTTGTTCACTTTAACTGACAAATTTTAATAACCTACTTATCCTGAAGAACTAAATTTGTTTCATCAAATTTTTCCCATGTATTGAATACAAGTATTTGTATAGCACCATGTTTGTGCTTTAGATTTCTGTCTCTTATGGCTTAAACATCTGCATTTTGAAGAAAACATAGGTTAGAGTAAATTAACATTTTATTCAATTTCTCTTTCATGTTTAGCTTACAGCAATAGACCATTGTTATGCCTGAAAATGTTTAATAAAGAATTAAGAACTGGTGGCTGTAATCTCAGCTACTTGTGAGGCTGAGGAAGGAGGATTTCAAGTTTGAGGCCAGCCTAGAAACTTAGCCAGATCCTGTCTCAATAAGGTCTGCAGATGTAGCCCAGCATTCCCAAGGTTCAATCTCCAGTACCATCAGGAAAAGAGAAAGAAAAAAAAGGAAAAGGAAAAGGAAAAGGAAAAGGAAAAGTAGTAGAAGAAGAGGAGGAAGACAAAGAGGGGGAGGAGGAGGAGAAAGAAGAGGAAGAAGAGAAAGAGGAAGAGGATAAAGGAGAAGTAGGTGGAAAAGGAAAAGTTAAAGAAAAAAAGAAAAAGAAAAAAGGGACATGAAACATTTTATGTACTTAAATTTCAAAAGGCTTTATTTGTGTACTAAGTTTTGTTGTAATTTCTTTGTGTGCTGACAAATACCCATTTATTTAAAGAGAATGCTAGATAACTGAAGACAGCTTTATAATTTGCTAGGAAAAATTGACATATAATAAACATTTATGAAATAAATATAATGAATGTGATTTAACCCCCAATGTTACTTATGTGGATTTATTTTTATTTTGTAAAAATGGTTTGGCAATTTTTTTTTCACTCAAACAATGGGGCAGGGTAGAGTAGGAGGTTGTGTGAGCATTACTGGCTATCAGGAGTAAATTCAGTTTTAAGTAATAGTTGAGTTACTTAAAGAAAATAATAGCAGTTACACTTTGAGACACTTTTGAAGCAAATGCTTACCTGTTTTCAAGAGATGTAGGCCCCACAGCAGCTAAGAATATGTCCTTTGAGCCAGTGTGTCTGGGCTGAAGGACTTGCCCAGTTATTTTGAGGAATTTTAGCAAAATGACTTCTGAAATTTTTTCATCTGAAATTGTTTACCAGCACTTATATCCCAAACAACTTTTCAACTGATATAACGTATGAGAACATATAAAATACTATGTGTGTGACATATAAGGTCATGTAGTGATGAAGACAATGATTTCTATTACCATTAAGTAAATCACTAATAAGTAATGTGATTGTGATTAGTTTTTCCATTCCTAGGAAGACCAGATGCTAGGCATGCTAGTTGTTCAGCATAGGAAGTAAATTTTAGACCATCTTACTGAAGCCTGTCTTCCAAAGCTTATATTTTGTGAAAATACTTAAAATTTCAGGGTATATTGTCCCTTATGGAACAAACATCTATCTTTAGACTTTGAAAACAATGAAACTTGAAAATAAAATATAATCTCCACAGCAGGTGGGAGGATGGATGTGACATTAATGTTTCTCTACGTGTGTAGAGTACAGGCATGCACAGGTAACATCCATGATGAAAGACAAGGGGGTTACTTGGTTCCCACTGCATTCACTCCTCAATCTGGCCTATAGTTGCCAACCTGAAGAAAAAGGACCAACATATAATCCCACAGTCATTCTCCTGCACTTTTAATCCTTAAAAAGGTATAGGATAATAGCCATCTTTGCACATGGAAGGCTGATCTGGTCCTTTCTGAACAGCAATAAGATACTTCCCTGTTTACACAAGCTACATCTTCCCAGTGGGTCTAAAAGAATGACAGAGGATATGCAGAATGAGGAAATGGCGTGGCTGCAGGCCAGAGCCCTGATCAAGAACTGTACACAGGCTGGGGCAAGGAAAGATTTCAAGAGAGACAAAAATATATGAGAAAGAAAGAGAGACAATGTGCCTTTAAAGGCCTCAGAGTTATAAGAGGTTTATGAGTCCAAACAAAAGCCAAGAAAATGACAAATTACAATTGCTGGAGAACCATTACTCTGAGAGGTCTCTATCAGAGATACAGTGGGTGATCCAGATCCCCAAAGTCAGTTCTGTGATGTATTGGAGCATTCATAATGGTTTGGCCCTGACAGTGATGTGAAGGGAAGAACATGGCCTCCCCAATTTTGGCACTTTCTGAAATATGATACACTCTCAGGGGATGCTGCTGGGTGTGGAAATATCGAAAGGGAAAGATAGGCATGTTGGCTGTGAATTAGTTTTTAAATATACCTTCATTTTTCTTATGCATTTGGAATTTAGCTTCACAGTAACTGCTCCTGGTAGATGATTCGGTATCATCAAGTGTTGAACTTGAGGTGCTCGGCTCATTTTGAGGAAAAGCCCTATGGACTGAAGTATGTGTGAGATTGCTACCGATAGTATTCAAAGGATCTCCTGAAATTAAAGGTGAATTCTCCAATTTTTCAAGCTCTTCCTCTTTGGGCATGTCTTCTCCTTCAGGAGACAGTGGTTCTTCTACAGAGGAAAAGATGAAGAGGATTATCTTCAACATGTAACTCAAATACTATTGAAAATGTCAACAGTCTCATTTCCAACAATTCTTCACTTAATTCATGTCACACTAAACCATAAATTTCTAACCAAAAGTACATGGCCATTCCCTATTCATCATTTACGGTAATGGTCAGTAATTGAGCAGTAAACATTTTTAATGTAGAAAGGTACTAAGTTTTTCTGTTCTATCATTTTGTAGCAATACAAAGCTGAATAAAAAGGGTTATGGTATTTTTTTAATCTAGGGAAAAATGACAGTTATGTGCTTTGAAGGGAATGCTGTGCCAAAGCTGCCATAGTAGTAACCGAACAGCCAAATTCACCTGGGCAAATGTATTTCCCTAACCACCAACATTATCACTCTAAGAACATACATAACTGGTAGAGGAGGAATATCTCCTTCCAGTCTTGGGTCATGTAGAGCTATTTACCTTTACAAACATGCATCATTGTTTTGGGCACTTTAGGAGAGACAGGAACATCACAAGGTATAGGTTGCTCAGAAGATCGTTTCGTGCTTTGCTTTTCTGGTATATCTTCTTTCACTGTTTTGTTTTTTAAAAGAGTCTGTTATAAATAATTACTCAGTATTTTCAAATAATTTACACAATAGTTCTCTTCCTAAATCATTTTTATACTGCCATTTTAACAATGTCAATTATTTGCTCATGAATAATGTGTTTATTGTGTTCTATTAAATGTTCTCATTTGGGAGTAACAAAGTATTTCTACAGAAATATATCGAAACTTCACTTATTTGGAGTCATCAGATCTCTATAAATATGTCAAAAGACAGTGAGGGAACCCATTATGTATCTAAAAAGCCCTGGAAAAATTGCTCTCCTAAGCAAAAGGAATTAAGATTTGAGAGAAGGAGAAGATATGGTAGAGTGGATATTCTATTTTATAGACAATCCTGATCCAGGGTGACCCATACAACAACTCTACTGTGTAACACCATTCAAGAAAATGCACTTCTACTTAAGCATTTCAGAAAGTATAGACACTTTGTCTCTTATGATTTAATTTCCATTATGTGAAATGTTTGGGACCAGAAATGTTCTGGATTTTAGTTTTGTTTTTTTTTTTTTTTTTGATTTTGGAAAATTTGTAGACTTTATTGTTTGAACATCCCTGCTTCAGAAATCTGAAATGCAAATGCTCTGATACCTGAAACTTTTAAAGCGTTGACATGGTACTCAAAAAGTCCTGGACTTTGGAACATTTTGGATTTCAGATCAGCAATGTTTCATTTATGTAAGTATCAATTAACATCTTAGCTAAATCTCCAACAAAGAGACACATAAGGCATAATAGAAATTTCAAAACTCCGACACTAGAACTCAAAAGAGAATAAAGATTGCCATAAGGAAATACCAAAGTCAAATTTTATCTGATTCAAAATATTGTCTGCAGTCTAGACATACATCTCAAAACTGTGTAAGAAATAACTCCTAGCAATCCAGTTCTCAACTGCCTTTGACTGTTATTTTTAATCATAGGCTACTAAACCAATAATCAAAACATATTTCAGGTGTATGATAAGTAATGTAATTTCTTCAATTAATTAAAACATTTAAATTCTAAGGAAAGAGAGCTGGGGATGCAGACTGATCGTACTGCACTTGCCTAGCATATATGAGGGTCTTGGCGTTGATCCCTTGCTAGCACTGCAAAAAATAATTTCTAAGAAAAGGAATAATTGGCTTTCTCATATTTATTTAATGATATAGAAACTCCTAGTTGTATACACACACATACACATACATACATATGCATACATATTCTAGTGAAAAAATATGTGTATATCAGTGCTGAGGACTGAACCTAGGGACTTCACACTCAATTATATTTCCACCTGCTTTTATTTTTTGAGATAAAGTCTCACTAAGTGGCTAAGTTGTCTATGCTACATTTCAACTTTCAATCTCCCTGCCTCAGTCTCCTCAAGTGTTGAGATTACAGCTGTGTGTGCTGTCATGTTCCGCTTCAAACAATCCTTTTCTACACAGATGTTTGCTTACCTCAGAATCTAGGCTATACGTATTTTCTTATTTATAATATACTAATGTTCTTGAAAATCTTTCAAAACTGGTATATGGTCTACTATCTGGAGCTGAACAAACGTAAAATTAACATTTGACTTCTGTTTCTGGTTACTTTAGTAAACTAAGGCAAGAAAATGTTCCCACAGGGATAACTAGGAAAGGTCAGATACTTTACAAAGTACTTTACGAGTCATTATATGGCAGGGAAGTTCCAGGATGATTCATAAAAGATCTTCTACAATTCTTTAACATTAAAAACACTAGCAAAGATTGTACAAATTAAGTTTCAAAACACTGGAAATTAATTAAACACCTTTTGCACTCCAAAGAATTCTTATTTAAGAAAAATGGCTGAATCTCAAGAAAAAAATGACAAATTGGTGGTACTTTAACTTGTTTTGATTCCTTTCAACCTGTTTTCACAGTAGCCATCAAAACTAACAACTTCATAACTACAATAGCTGTTAAAAACCAATAGGTTAGCAGTCACCAGAGGGGGCTCAATAGCTTTGGAGCTCTTTACAACCCCATTTCCAGAGAATTATCACTATTTTACCTGTCTGAAAAAAACCTTTCTAGGCGTATCTCTCTATCTAACCTGAATCAGAGCTTTCTCTCTATGAACAATGCTATTCTAAGGCTGTGCTAAGAAAAAAAAAAAAGTAGTTACTTAACTTTATAGCTCCAGGAGGCAGCATTTGCCTGTTGGGACTAAGAAGCGGCTGACCAAAAACTTAAAAGAAAAAAAACAAAAACAAACTGGATAATGAGTGATGCTTGTTAGTAGATTTTGAAAAGTACTGACATATTCCTGAGAATCTAGAAAGACACATATAATCTGCAGGCTGTATGTAAGCCCGGGGAAGAATTCAGAAGGCCCTCATCTTGCATCTTCGGCTCACTCTGAGGCTACACAGAGAATAGACTTACAAACTGTCACTTTGAGAGTGTTTTAAGTTACGATCAATACACACAAAGAATCTCTTGGCAAAGGGTGGGAGATACACTGGTTCCAGTCATACAATCATTAGCTTACCATTAATCTCATTAATCTCAGCCTTCAGTAGCACATACAACAAAGAATAGAGACTTTATAAAATTAGTTTAGATAAGTCACTAAATCAAAATTATCACCAATGACAATAAAACCTAAGAGAGGGGCGTATTCTGATTTCCCAAACTGCCCCACTTTATTAAGGTAATTTAATTTTCAACAAAATTTATAGGTATTAAAGAAAAGTTTGGCCTATATATCAGAAAAAATTACTCAATAGAAACTATCCCTGAAGAAGCCTAGACATTTGACTTATTGACAAAGATTATAAGTCAACTATTAAAAATATGTTCAAAGAAACAAAATGGAGAATCATGTCTTAAGAACTAAAATATCAGAGTATCTTACCAAATACAGAATACAGACAGAGAAATTATAAATCAAAAGATAGAAATCCAAGAAAAACATAGAATGAAGAATTCACTAGAAAGCCTCAACAAGCAGATATGAAGAGCAAATGAACAAACCAACAAATTTAAGAACAGTCAACTGAGAATATATGGTTTATGGGACAGAAAAAAAGGAATGAAGAAAAATGCGTAGATCCTTAGAGTACTGTGGGATACCATCAAACATACTAAAATACACTAAATGGAATATTCTCAGAAAGAAAAAATGGAGTAGAAAATTTTGGGGAGAATAGTCATAAGATTCCCCATTTTTATTTTTTTTTAAAAAAAGACAATGTGTACATCCCAAAAGATCAACAATCTCTGACTAGTATAAACACAAAGACATCCACACCTAGAAAAAAAAAACTGTTGAAAGCAAAAGATAGAATCTTGCAATCATAAAGAAAAAGCAAACAGTCACATATAAGGGATCCATAACGAGATCAGCAACTCACTTGTCATCAGAAACCAGAAGTCAAATCACTGAAACAAGAACAAAAAAGAAATAAATAAAGAATTCTATATTCAGCAAGTCTAACACTCATAAATGAATGAGAAAATAAGAAATTCACAGATAACAGAAACATAATTTTTCACTGGTAGGGTTATCCTATAAGAAACACTGTATTAGCGAGAGCAATCAGGCAAGAGAAAGAAATAAAAGGCGTATATATAGGAAAAGAGGTCAAATTATCATTATTTGTAAATGACATAATCTGTCACATAAAAGACCTAAAAAATGCCATGAAAAGATTCCTAGAATAACCAAATGCAGTAGCATAGCAGAATACAAAGTCAACACATGAAAATCAGTGGCATTACTATATACCAATAATAAGCTCATCAAGAAAGAATTTAGGGAAACAACAGTACTCACAATAGCATCAAGAAAAATTACTTAGGAATTAAGCTAACCAAGGAAGTAAAAGAACTCTATAATGAAAACAATACTGTGAAAAAGGAAATTAAATGGCATATCACAAAATGGAAAGATATCCCTTGTTCCTGGATAGACAAATCAATATTGCTACAAAATGCTCACATTACCAAAACTGATATATGAATTTAATGCAGTCTCAATCAAAATAGCAACAGTAATCCTTACAGAACTAGATAAAGTGATCTTAAGATTTATTCTGAACCAGAAGAGAGCCTTCTAGTCGTATTCCCAAGCTACAGTGATAAAACAGTATGATACTATAAAAACAAAACAAAACAAAACTGAACTGGTATGTTGGTCAATTAAACAGAACAGAGAATGCAGAAACAACTCCAGGCACATTCAGCTGCCAGGTCTTTGACAAAGAGTATAAAAACTTACACTGGAGGAAAGATATACCATTTGTTAGAGTCTTGGGAAAACTGGCTATACACATTCAAAAAAGATTGAATCTAGACTCGTATTTCTCACCATGTACTAAAGTCAAAATGGATTAAAGATATAAATGTTATTACAGAAACATGTAATCTACTGGGAGATAAAACAGGTAAAAGACAGGCATAGGCAAGGACTTCCTGAACAGAATTCCAACTGTACCAGAATACCAAGAATCAACAAATGAGATCTGTTAAATTACAAAGTTTCTGCACAGCAAAAGAAACAACCAACAGTGTGATGAGATAATCTACAAAAGAGATAGGTGGCTTTTGCCACCTATTCCTTAGAGGACTAATAGAGTATTAAAAATTACTAGACATGCTCAAAATAAAAGACCCAATCAAAAAATGTGCAACTGCAATGAATGGACATTTCGCAGAAGAAATAGTACAAATGGCCAACAAATATATGAAAAACTGTTCAACGTCTGTATTAGAAAAATGCAAATTAAAACATCATTGAGATTCCATTTTATTCCAGAATTATAGCTATCATCAAGAAATCAAATAACAACAAATGATGGTGAGGCTTCAGGGAAAAGGAACCCTTATTCACTGTTGGTGAGAATTTAAAATCACATAACCATTATGGAAATCTGTTTGGAGATTCTTCAGAAAGCTAAAAGTAGACATTCCATTTAACCCAGCTATTTCTCTTCTCAGTACTGTCCTAA